AGGAATGTAAATTGGTACAACCATCTTAGAAAAATGCTTGGCAGCACATGCTAAATGTATATAAATGTACATCCTAGTCCTTTTCCCTAATACATACCAAATAGAAATAAAAGCTTAATTCCTCCAAAAGACATGCACAAGAATGCCACAATAGCTTAATTCATAATAGTCAAAAAGTGGATGCAACCCAATTGCCTATCAATATGTAAATAAACTATGGTATATTCACATTAAACCACTACATTGCACTGGAAAAGAATAAACTTCTGATACACACAACAACATGTATTTCAAAGACACAACCGAATATATGCCATACGGATCCATTTATAAGAAGTTCAAAAAAGGCACAAAACTCATCTATGTGTAGAGAGGTCAAAACAAAGGCTGCCTCTCTGGATGGGAGTATTGACTGGAAAGGAACATACGAGAACTTTCAGGGTTGATAGAAATGTTCTGTATTTTGATTTGGATGATGGTTAAACAGATATATACATATGTAAAAATTCAGTAATCTGTACACTTACAACTGTATGCTTGACTGTTTTAAGTTACATAGCACGTAAAAGACTCTTTTAAAAAGTTGATCATATGAATGTTTTGATAATAATGAAGTTAAAAACCCCTACCATCTTAATCTATTAAGATAAACAACTACTTCCCAAAGCATGAAATACATAGTTCTAATGATCAATAGTAACTTAAGGTGTTATTTTATCAGCATTTAATTATTTCTAAGTGGGATAAGTAGTAAATTAGTGATATAACATTCATTTCAAGAACAGTCAACACTGAAGTGCAATATATTGGGAATTCAGAACATACTCTTTCATTCAAATTAAATACTATCAGGACAACAGTAAGTACTTACCCTTCTAATCTAACATCTGGTAAAGATCTGTTGAGTGCAATCATCTCACTCGCCATTAAATTGAACTGATTGATTTTAAACATCTCTTTCATCTTTTCTTGATCCTCTTTAGGAATGACGACTGGTTTCCCCATTTCTCCAGGACCTTCATGAGGCTTTTGTACTGGCTCTAGAACTAAGAATAAGGAGGAAACTTAACTAACAATTTTATAGCAATCAATTCATGTTTCTGTTAATAACATTTGAGTTAAAACTGTGCCCTCAACAACAAGGGCCATTTCTGAGCCCATCCTCTCCCATTCTGCAACACCTCCTAGGGGTTTCCCTGTCCTCCACTTCCACACTAGTGTCCTGACTCAAAACCTCCTCCCCTTGCACCACTCACCTGAATCACTGCATAGCTTTGGCACACCCATCCCTAATATTGTTACGACATTAGCCTCCCTAAAGCATAGCCTTCATTGTGTTATTCCCATGGTCTCCAAAGTCCAATCTCTTTAATGTGGAATTTAACCTAACTTGCCAAACTTACCAGCCCTTTGCTCTCCACCACCCTCTCCCCAGTACTTCATCCTCAAATAGCAACTCACTCCTTTCTTCCAAATCTACCTCACGTTTTTTGGCTTTGGTGCCTTTGCTCACACAGGTCCCCTCCCTTGGCAACTCCTTCCCACTCCTAGCTCTGCAGTATCAAACACTGATTTCTCTTCAAGGCCCAGCTAAAACGGCTTCGCTTGCCTATAACTTTTCTGAATCTCTCCATTTTCTGCTGTTGACTAACACATCATTTCATCTAAGGTTCTTCTGTCTCTAGTCAATTGGTATCTCTTACTGTAATAATTGC